TTCCTCTCCATCCTCCCACCACTGATCGAGTGGAGGGAAAAAAAACCTCTGAATTAATTAGTGATGAGTTCGGTAGAGTTTGTTGGGTTTTCGATAGTTGGTGGTGGGTTCGTACCACACCAACCACGTGGAGTTTTTCTGCTTTCTTTACGTGTCTAACAAAAAAGATACCATTCTTTCCGATACTTATTGCATTACATTTTCCATCAATCCAATCAAATCTCCCACCTCATTATAATGTCCGGGTGTTGCTGGATTTAACCCACACCCAGCCTGAACCCACGACATGATTAAAAATGTTTTATTAATCTTTTACTTCCGCCCCTCACCAATAGATAAAAATGGTGATGGGTTCGTACCTCGCTATCAACGTTGAATTTTCCGGTTTTTTTTAACACAATTCTAACACCAATAAATCCTCCCGTTTTTGTATACGTTACGTTGACTTTCCATCAATTCAATCAAATCCCACCCTCCATTATATGATGCGGAAACGAACTCTCTCCCATCCGAACCCACGATACGTCTTTCAAATGCCTAAAAGAGGTGGGGGGAATCGTTTTAATTAAACAAAACAATCGATTAATCTTCTAAAAATTCTCCATTTGTTGAAATTAAGAGGAAATAAATTTATTTTGATAAGAAGAAAAGATTAATTTAAACACGGGATAATTATTTTCTGTGGGGAAAAAAGAAGAGTTTTTCATCGTCGTTACTTCCGTTTAAACTTTTTTTAAATGACTTCCAATTTGTTGATACTACAGTCAACAAGTTCAAACTCGTAATCCAGAAAAAAAGACTTGTCTACAATTTTTTTTTTTAACAAATCAAATTTAACGAGACAAATTTATGACTTTATTAACGTGATTTAATTTCCATTCGCATCGATATTTTTTCAATAACTAAGGAAATTAGAGGTTGAAATAAGAGAAAACAAATGTAAAAAGAATAAATTAGTAAACGGACAGAAAGTCACGAAACGGTAGCCGATCTCCCCTTTTTCTTTTTCTTTTTTCTTTTTTTTTTCCTTCGATTCTTTGTTTTGATACATTTTATAAAATATTTAATAAACTGAATATCTTATGGAACTCGAATCAATGCCATTTATTATTTAAAATAGAAGAAAGTTTCGTGGCCCCCTCCCGGCATGCGATCAATATTAATAGGTCGAGTTTATTTATTGAAAAATCAAGTGTTAAACACGTATTGGGTCTTTTGTATTTACGTTTATACACGAGGCAGTTGTATGAATTTCTGTAAGTTTGGCATGGTTTTTTTTTTTTACAAATTTATGTAAGGAAGAAACGTAATTTACGCATTATTTTATCAATTTCTATACAAAATAAACGTAATTTACGCATTATTTTATCAATTTCTGTACAAAATAAACGTAATTTACGCATTATTTTATCAATTTCTGTACAAAATAAACGTAATTTACGCATTATTTTATCAATTTCTGNACTTGAACGTAAACGTTGAACGATATTGAATGGAAGATGTAAAAGAAAAATTCCAACTGTGACGTAAGAAAAAAGATGCAAGAAGGGATGCGGGACGTAAGGAAGAGGCAGAAGCATCCTATTAATCTTTAATGATATTGTTTGATGTATGCCGTATATATTAAAGCCCTTAGGCTAATTTGTAATTTCGGATCTGGTCGGATCAAACAATGGAGTGACTGTGTTTATCTTGATAAAGGCAAATATTGAATGAATTTACAATAAATGGGAGGAGAATTATTAATATCGAACAATAACCCGAGTTAGAAACGTATTAATAAGTATTCGTTATGATAAATCTCTCCATCAAAATGATTGAATTTAACTCCAATGTTTCGATATTATTTGAAGTTTTCTATGTTGTTTGTATACGAAATTGTTTAAAATCGATAATAAAAGAGCCACACTTAAACTCGTGCGTATACAATTTATCCGGTTTTAAATTTTAATGTGGGGGAGTTTTATGTACAGATTGCGGGTCGTGTCATCGTTTGAGCTCGTGTATTTGTTATGTGACATCGTTCCACGCCGCCATTTTGTATGTCACGTGTTATCTGTCATCGTTTCGATTTGTATTGTGTTTTCTCTTTAATTATTTTCCCCCTTTTTTTTTTTTAAATTCTTCCTGTATTGCTGACCTTTTCTATTTTCTCCATTTTATTACTTGATTATTTTTTTTATCTTTACCAATTTGACCAAAAAGAATAACAGAAAAAACATCATTTTTCCCCCTTTTGTTTCTATTTTCCTCACTTAATTTTTTCTCATATATTTCTTTAATTAGTTTCCTGCAGTGTTTATGTATACAGGGGTGTGTACAGGGTTAATAATTACAGTTTATTTTTCTAGATAATGGTAAATACAGTAAGAACTTAGTCTTATCTTCACGCTTATAGAATTCTTCATTGGATCCAGATTCCTACTTTCTCTGCTTTCTTTACCTCTTCCACGAAATATCTGAGTAATGCCATTGGTTACACAGAGATCAATCGATACAGTCAGATACATTTGTAATATGAAGACAAGCTTCTTTGTTATATGTCAAGCAAGTTGTTCGCTTATGCATTTCTTCCGGTCTTAAATCGAAGACAATATGTGACCGACTTTGCAATGACCTTAAAGGAATGTATGAAAAAAAGATTCCCCTGTTATAACACTGATGACATGTGTTATTCCCTATTCTTCTCTATCCATTTACATTATATAAGAGTCATTTTTTTAATATTTAATAAATAATTTATGCACATTTTCTATTGTTTATGCTCGATAATTAACTCTCCTTCTTTGTTTTTTTTAAATGGATAATTAATTAAAATATACTCGCAGCGTGTTTCCTGTATTTGATTGTATCGTGATTGTATTTCCTTCTATACAAATATACGTGACGTATACACACAAACACACACACACACAAGTAAAATTAATTGTCTACGTATAAATGAATATATTAATTTATTAATTAATATATATATATATACTAAATTTTTATCGAAAACAAAATAAAAATTCACTCGTAGATAATAATTACTTCTTCGTACGAGATAATTAAATATCGTCTACGAAGGGACCCGAAAAATAATTAAAATAAATGATTGTAGAATTAATAATTAATTTTTTTTTCTCTTTCTCGTATTTTCGTGATCTTATTACACATTTTCTGTTGTTTACCTTCGATTCTATGGCGATTTTGACGTGGAAAAATCATTAAAATCTTACTCACTTTTATAACCTTTCTGACCCCCTGTATACGTACTGTACGTAAGTAACTCATTGTAAAATATAATAAATAATTGCATTACTCATGTTATTATTATATCAATTAAAGGGGAAAGAATATTTATTGTATAATGCAACGGAATTTTAATTGATGAGATCAAAAACACAAAAATTCTTGTCGCATCTTCATAAAAATAAATGAGATTTTTCACTACTTTTCTGGCTGTTGTTTTGTAAAAGAGGGGGGAATTTTAGACTTTTCCATCACCCCCTCGGAAACCCGAAAACGTCGAGAAATGTAAAAAATAAACTTAAGGTTAAAAGATAAAGGGGTGTTATTGCTGTGTCTGTATGTAGAGGAGGGGGCACGATTTTCTTTATCCAATTTCAAGCTTAATAACTCCCGTTCCTCTTGTCGAAAATTCCTGAAATTTTGTAGTTAGATTTGTATATAATCTAGGTTAATTGTAGAAAATTTTGGTGGTTAAAGGTCAAGGGGGTGAGGAGTTAGAAAGAGTCGAAATTAATGAAGATTTTACTATCGTTTACAATTTCTTATAAAATTCATCTCTACCCTCGATTAATATAGAAAGATTTTAGTAAAAATCTCCGGGACAGTTAGGCAACTCGTTGTTTGAATATTTTTTTAATGGTTAATAAGATGACTTTTAAAAAGATGCTGGGTAAAGATTAAAATGTCCATCATCCCCAGCATCAATATAACTTGCGAGATGCTTATTTTTGTTATCTAGAACCTAATTTAATGTCTATTACGTGATAAAAATGGGCTATCTTCTTCGTTTATTTTGAATATTTTTAATAATATTCGAGTTAGAAATTCTGATTAAACAATTTTATAAATTGCTTTATAAATAGTTACGTCAATTTGACGTCATTCTTATTGTTTCCTTATGAGAAAGCACGATGATGACGTCAATTTGACGTAAAAAATGTACACTAGTTTTTAGACCTATCAAGAAGGTTTTGGGGAAGGATTATATACCGAATTAGAGGAAGTAAACGAAAAGATTTCCCTACTTCTATGAGGCATAGGGAAATTTGTTCCTTTTGTCATTATCCAGGCACTCCTGTTAGGACTGTAGGACTTCTAAAACAGATACTGAAAACCCTATAATAAAATTAAATTATAGAAAGTAAACAAAAGAATTTCCCTACTTTCTTAGGGTTTTTTTCTTCTTTTACCTCCTTCCAGACATTTTCGAGTGCCCAAAATACATAATAGGAACCACACAGTATATTCAATTATTATATTAAGGGAATTAAACATAGAGATTTTCCCTACTTCAGGGAAATTTTAGTTCTTTTCCCCCCTCTCCTCTAGACATTCCTTCTATTACCTATTGTTTGTTTAGATGTATTGTTATACGAAAGATCGTAATGATAACTCGATAAAATAATAATTTAAAATGTCTTTAAGGGAAACAAATAGTTATTTAAAGGCTTAAATTTGATAAAAATCCTCTTAACGAAAGTAAAAAAGAAAAATTTAACGAATAATTTCATTTAAATTACTTGGCAGCGGTTATCAAAAATGAATTCCTAAATTTTCTGATTATCCACCGTTGTGTGTGTGTATGTGTGTGTGTGTGTGTGTGTGTTTACCCTTTTACTTAATTAATTATAAACGGATCTGGTGTCGGAAACTGTCTGTTAAATCCCTTTAAATAATACAAAATGTATAATTACATAATTTAGAAATTGAGAAACCATACAATTTTGTTTGATGTTAAACAAGAAATTTCCTATGTTTTAATTCCCTAGATTCCTTATGGATTCGTTGAACAAAGGGAGTAGATTATCCAGGCAAGGTTCTCGCATCCGCAGACAAAGGAGCAAAGAATGGCAAGATTACAGTTCTTCAGACAACGAGGATGATCAGCAGTACAGGTACACCAGCGAACAAACAGTAGATTATGAGGAAAATAGAGTAACTTCCGATAGCAGAAAACACGGTAAGAGCATTAAATTTCTATATATATAAACATAAAAATCTTTAATTAATAAACAAAATTCCTAATTAAATTTAAAAAAAAAAATAATAAAAAATTTACTGACGGATCGATTGGAATACCCATAGGGGAGTTATTACTTTACCTTATCGATTCTTAGTAAGAACGTAAGAAATTGCCAAAGGTCATAAATTTCTTTTAATAGTCCTATTTATAACCGAATAATTCTTATTAATTGCGGTAAAACCTAATTAAAAGGTAAGGTAAAATGGTAGAATTCTATCAATTTTAAGTTACGTAAGTGATTACGTAAGAAAAGGGAAGGAGGGAGGGAGGGAGGGAAAGGAAGGAAAATAAATTAATAACCTTTTGTGGTATGGCGAGTAAATATAATAAAAGGAAAGCGGCATTATCAAATGAAGTTAAAGGTATTCTTCACACCTGTCTTTCAATTAATTTCTACAGATTTATAATAATGGTGATCCGCACTCGTCTTTGTGATAACAAGCTCATTATACAAGTAGAGATAGGGAAAGAATCGACTTCCTGACATCGGCAGTCTTGTTTAGGCGGTATGATCTTTTCAGTTGGATTCAAAAGCCTTAGGCGGAGTTACCAACAATGGTAAAGCTTACAACAAAGTAAATTGATTGAATAGGCAAAAAAGATTTGCAGGAATTTCAACGTAACCTTGCAAAAAAAAAAAAAAGTGGGGAGGAGAAGGAAAAGATGAAGGAAGAAGAAGAAACTGTTATTATCCGGGATGAAAATGGAAAAAAAAATATATCTACAAGTTGAAAGACAAAGGAATACGAAGAGTCCGAAAAATGCCCGCATAAGTGCGAGTGTGCTTCACTACTCTTCTATGTATCGATGCGATGTGGCATGGCCCCGGGTCGTGAATCCCAAAACTAGCTTTGGCTAAATCGAATGCTGTGCATCTTCTGCAAAAGCTCGACGTGGTTGGAATAATCACGTGATTCGAAAGCAATGAGATGAATTTTGAATAGTGTTCTTCTCCTCCTCCTCCTCCTCCTCTTCCTACCCCGATGTAAGTGCCTTACTTTCTTTTTTTTTAAAAAAATAAATTATGGCATTTTACAGTAAGTTTCGTTTTAGTTTAGAATATATATTTTTTTCTTTTTTAAATCCCTTTCTTTACTTATAAATTTATAAGTTTAATGAGGTGTTACCACTAACAAAGAGTAGTAAAATGTAATAACGAAGAGAGAGAGAGAGATATTTACTCGTGTTTCTTTCAGTGTTTATTTGTAGACATCCTCCTGTGTAAAAGAAGAGTTATTTTGTTTGTTCAGTTCAGTCTTTCGACACCTGAGTCTTTGCTTCTTTATTTCAATTTTTCTCTTCAACCGTTTAATCAATAATAATTTGATTTGGAGAAGAGATTTCGTAGGGGGTGGAGAAAGAAAGGGGGAAAAAACGTTTTAACAAACAAAAAAAAACGGTGTTGTTTTTTTTAACCTGTTAATACATAAATAAATTTATTAATTATCTCTCTTAAACTCTTAAAATATTCACCGATCGATGCAATAATATATCAGTGATAATATTAGCAGATAAATTTAATGGGCTGTAGGGGTTACAAATGCATAATCGACTAAATTGGTCAATAGAGGATAGTATAAATGTTCCACGCTTGTGGGCCTTTATCTCTATGACGTGCAATTTCGCTCCGTATCTGACAAACGGCGCATATATATATATATAACATCATGCTAACATATAAACTATTATAATTAAACTACTAGAGGAAAATGCATACTGTACAATTGCTTCCTTAATTTACCTTTTGTTCTTTAAATCTATTTAAAATTATACTGCTTTAGAATAATAAATAAATGAATTTTATCGCCTTTTTGTCATGTTAATTTGAAATAAAATATATTTAAATTTGAATTTAGATCAATAAACCTTTACTTTTCCATTTCTACCGGCCATCCCCATTTTTTTTTTTTTTAGATGATGTACTTAAGAGCTTTCTTGGAAATCTATAAACACTTTTCCTTAGTTAAATATTAAAAGATTCGCGTGTGGATCGATTATAAGTTCTTCTAAAAATGGATAAGAGATCAAAAGCAAACCAATTAAGGACAACCTTTAATCCTTTGTTCTATAAGAAGTGCGAGTTCAACGGATCACATATCTTCACAAATCCTTATGTATTAACTGCATTACTTTGTCTTTTGCTTTGGTAATTAGTAAGAAAAATCCCACTAATTAATCGGATTAACTATATTTTAAAAATTAAATTGGATTTTATAATTAAATTTTTAATATATTTTTCCTCCTCCCTTTCGATATACAAATATTTTGAGGGTGAAAGAAATGAATGAGAATAACAAAACTTAATAGTAATGTTACGTGATTTCATATTGTAATTCTTTGTATTGAATTCAGTATTGGCAAAGTAATAAATTAGGGAATATGTTACATACACTTCAAAGTTAGTGTATTGTATGAAGTTCTGTAGCATAGACCAATGTAACAGCTGGTGCGTGAAGTCTCAATTCCCTGTCTTTGACACTTCTCTTTTCTACGACTTCTGTAGTTTTTTACCCGATATTTGATGATTTAATTCAATTTTTTTTTTCACTGGTTCAATTTTTAACGCCGTATTTTCCCCACCGGTTTATTAAATCCTTGGATTTAATACGGAATTTATTATTTTATTAATAGTAGAATCGTCGAGAAAAATACAACAGAAAGGTAATTGTTTCCAATTCAAATATCTAAGAAAGAACGATGGAAGTGGCTTAAGGATTCGAAAGAAATTCCATATCACGAGATTCCCTTGGGACTTTAACAAGAAAAATTGAAAATCCTAATCTTTCTTTAGGCTCACTAACTCGAAGAATTGAGAACAATCGCCTTTAGATCCGTCACCTTCCTGTAAAAGTGAAATCTTCTATCTAGAAGAGTGCCAATTACGTGTCATATTATTAAAAAAAAAAAACACAAAGTTTTTACACTTAAGATGCTTAAGTTACGAGTAATCTTAATCAAAATTTAGCCCCTACTGTTTATTTTTCATCCCTGAGTTGAGAAGTGTTTTATTAAGAAATAAGGAAAGGTAATTATTAAAAATAATTTAAATCTATAAGTAACAGTAAGAGTATATTGGCTTGATTTTTTTTTAAATAAATTTAATTGAGTAGATAAGAATATTAATTAAATTCTTGTAAAGAAACAAAAAAGCAACTACCTTATCTTCCTAAGGCACTCTTTCTATACAATGGCATCATTGTATCTGAAGACACCACCAAACTGATCTTCTCTTTTTTTTTCTTTTTCTTCAACAAAACAAACATTAAAATAAAGAACCTTCATTTAGTGTGGTAATACGGTATTACTGACGAGATTAAGCGTAAAAGCCCTTGTTCTTTGTCTTCCTAAATGGGCACAAGTAACAAAATTACATCCTAACTTGTCCAGTCTTTTCGGTTTTCATCGCTGGATTATTTTCAGCATCATCAAATGTAACAAAAATTAATCCATCCTCCTCATCTTCTTGTATACTGAGGCTCACTAATTCGAAGAATTCAGAACAATTGCTTTTGTGGTGAAGTTAGTTACAAAATTGACCGCTGGGGCACTAAATGTCGCTGTAACACCGTAGTGAATAACTAAAAATGCCCCATAGCACGCTCGATGAATGAAGTTTAAGAGGCAAGAACTCGATCCACTTGATGGCCTTCTTTATGTACTCGAAGTATCCTAACTTTTAAGGCATTTTGAGTTTATTCGCTACGGTGTTTCAGCGCCGTTTACTCCCCAGCGGATATTTTTGTAACTAATAATTTTTTTTCTTTTAAATAAAATTCCATCAACAACATAGTGGAATGTGATGTCATTCTGTCCATTAGTTCCCGTGTTATTATTTTTTTTTAATGCGAAATTGAATGTACTGTAGTACAGTACATTGGAAACGAATTTAAAGTTTTAAAAATAGCTCAGAATAATTAATTGTACAGGAATAAACATAACCTACTTCGTATAGGAATCATCTATTATTTATTTATTTACTTAATAAAATCTATAAAAATACTTTTACAAGATACACGTGATATGGTGCATGAATATTAACACGATATTAATTATTTGTTACTGTTTAAATATTTATGGAGAAGGAGGAAGAGGAAGAGGAGGAGGAGGAAAGGGGAAAAAAAAGTTGCAAATATAAGCTTGACGTAACAAAATATCGTAGTTTCGTTTTATGTATTTAGGAAAGCAAAGCTGTCACCAGTTGGTGACACGTCCGAAGTGGTGTCAACAGCAGAAACTAGCGGCTCGTAATAGATAGCCAAGACTATGGATATTTGCATGTGCATGATACACCAGCCATTAATCAACCTGCCTACATTTTGGACCTTATCGAATAAGATAACAGTATTTATCTAAACAATGGAACTTCACACGAAAAGTTTTAAATACATTCATCTTGCCAAATTTACAATCGTTTATTTTTTAAACCCACTTTTTTCAATTTTGCAAAGCGCATTTCTAAGTACCCTCCTCGCTCTTCAATCAATGGATCTTGTAATAACGAGATTAATTTCTATTGAAATTTTTGGGAGAAAATCTTTTTGAATGGATTATTTATTGAAAAAATTAATTTAATTATTTATTTTATAATTTTTTGAGGGGGTGGGTAAAAGTTAGGATGGATAACAAGAAGAAAATACAACACATAAGCCAAATTGGTGAGAATTTCTACGGCAAACGGCCCATATTTATGTGTTAGACACGTAAAGAAATTTCAGTAAACTCTTAGTCAGGTGTGAACCCACGACCAGTGTTAAGTAGTTTTATCCACTAGGCTACAAGTGGGCAGGAAAGAAGAGGAGTGTTTTCAAACTGGATTTAATACATATAAGTGTATATATATGCAGTCAAACCTTCAATAAAAGCCACCTCTAAACGGCAGCCATATTTTTGAAAACGGTTTCTTTAATGTATACTAAATAACCCCCCAAATAACTGCC